AACACAATGGAAGAAGAAGTAGAGAGAATGGTGTAGAAATGAGAAGGGTTGCTTTTCCTTATATAGGGAAGAAGAGAAGTAGATTACAAAGGTTGCTGAGTCAATTGTGATTCACAATCGGCGTAGTGGAGAAGGAGGCGCCGTTCGCACAGTGTCCCTGATTGGGACCAATTTTGGTTCCAGTCGAGGTACACTTTTTGGTCCAACTTTCTCCGAATTGAATTCCGTTTGCACCGTTGCGATCGGGCAGTTAAACTCTATCTAACGATATAATTTTTATATTTATTTGTAATACTTTTTCCGACATCATATTTTTGGGTGGTTGACTTTGACAGAGTCAAAATTGATTTAATTGACCTTTACTCAAAAAGGTTCTTACATTTAATTCATATTATTTATTCCCATGATTTATTTCAATAAATCATTTCAAAATTCACATTATAAACAATTTCTTCATTTATTCTTAATTTGGGTCTGTACTCAGGTTCCCAATCAAGATCACACAATAAATCAACATGTTGGATTTACCTCTACAAGATTTATCTAGATTGTGATATTGGATATCAATATATGTTTTATTTCGGCCCAAAGCCCAACAACAATTTATTTTAACCAAAATAAATTTGATTAATTGAATAATTATTCATTAATAATTCTAGGGTAGGTTTCAGGGCGTTACAGTCCATGCCAAACTCTTATTGTTTGTTTGCACTTGTAGAAAAAATGAGAAGAAAAAAATGATTAAGCTTTGATTTTTTTTTAAAAATCTTTTATAATACAATACATGGTTATAATCCTTATTTCTATCTAAACAAGAGAAAAAATATTTTATAATACATGTTTTTTCACTTTGTTTTTTTTAAAGATCTTTTTTCTATACATCCAAACAAATATTTAAGCCCATTAAATAAAGCACCGTTAGAGCAACCGAACTAAATCTTTTTCACATTTGTTTTATTTTTTACGGAGTAATATTTTTTTAAAAAACTTTATATCCGAACTTAAAAAAACATTTATTTAGTTTATATAAAGGTGAAAGGTCTATTATGAAATAGACTTTAGATAAAGATAAGAATATGCTTAATATTAATTTTATTAAATGAATTTTGATTCTTAAAATATATGCAAATCTCTATCCCAATGTCTACGGATTAAAATCTATAATTTTAGAAATAAAATTTTGAAATTTGGATAATTTTGGATAATTATAATGTTAAAAAAAGGGGGAGGAGGGGCCCATGCGTGTCAAATACCTTTATGTACACAGTAGTTGCTACTTGCTTAATAGTCCGTATTTATTGATTAAGCTTATCTGGTTGGAGGAGGGTTAGATTCCTAAAGTTAATTTGATTATCTAAAAAGTCAAATTTCACCTTCTAAATTGACAATTACACAGTAATTATTACTCATTATTATTATTATTATTATTTAATTAACTGAAATTATTTCACAGATAAAGATACTCTCCATTGAGTCGTTTTTCCTCCAATCATACTCCACATTCCCTATTGAATCTGTGCGTCTTTTTGGACTTCTCCTTTTTCTGGGTGGGTTTCTCTTCTCTTCCACAGAGTATATCTAAAGCATCTCTCTCTCTCTCTCTCTTCATAGTCTCTCCACACTTGTTCTCCGGTCAGAGAAGTATTAAAGGAGTATAAGAAAACAATTTCTCTGCTTCCACGAAACAATTTCACCCAATACTCTGTGTTTTCATCAACAAATAATAAGCATTCAGAGTTTTCAGGCTTCTCTGTCTCTATCCATGAGGTGCGTTCTATTCTCCCCTCTTCAAGAAAAAAAAAAGAAGGAAATTTCCCCAGATTTTTCTCGTTTGTTTCCTCTGAACTTTGAAAGGGCTTTGGATTCATCGGTAACAAGATGTGGGTTTTGTGTTTCTTTTTGGTTTTTCTTCCTTTGGATTTACTGGATTGTGGTCATGGGTATTTGGTTTTTGGACCTTTTGATTGGAAAGTTGAGATTTTTATTTGAATTTTGGTTGGTTTTGCAAGTAAAAGCTGGTGTCGGTGGAGTCAAATTCTTGGGGTTTCTGTTTGTCAAGTTTTACGAACTTGGTCAATTTGATTATATTCTAGATTCTTGGCAAGTGGCTTTTGATGACCTGTATTCTTCTGTTCTTATTCCTGTTTTATAAGGAACGAATTACTCATATGTTCTCGTTGAAGGGTTTTGTTGTGGGAAAATACAGGAATTTCTCTTATTGAAACAAGAAGAAAACAAGAATTTCAGTCAGAAATATTAAAGAAAGACTTGTGCTTAATTGACCTAGATGAGCTAATCATCTGAATTCAATCCTTTTTTATAGTAGTTTGGGCAAAATGTATATCATGACACATTTAAGTGACCCTGACCCAATTATGAATTGCGCCAACTTTGGTAGTTAGCCAAACAAATGTCGATTCCAATATGCCGTAAGATGCTTGTTGTGATAGGTTTTGAAGTTATCATGTCTGATAGTGTGGATGTGTGATTTGTTTAGGATGTGGCATATGGAACCACCATCAAAGATCCCAGTTTCAGATGATACTCAAGGTATTTTTTTTCATTGTTGTTAACCTCTTACAGTGATCATGTGTTTTGAGCCAAGTTTTTGTTCGAAATAGCCTCTTTACTATCTGAGTAGGGGTAGAGTTTGCATACACACACCCTTCCCAGACCCCACCATGTAGGAATGTGGGAATTTATTGGGTTTGTTGTGGTTGTTTACCTCTTACAAACTGGTTAATCGCTGGCATATGTGCAGTTGTTTTTTCTCTTCTCAATCTTTTAATATAAACAACCACTTTAACGATTCCAGGGAAAGGGAGAAATCCATGGTCCATCCCACTCGGAACTGATGCCAGCTTGTTCTCTAGCTCATTGCCTGTTCTTCCACATGAAAAATGTTTGTAACCCCTTTTTGTTTTTATTTTTCAGTCTTTTTGAAGTTTATTTCAACTTGGATAAATTCTTAATTCTAAACAATAATCGGCAGGGATGTCTAACAAATCAGTTGACGATAACGCTCATAGCTTCAATCAGTTCCATATGGAAGAAGGGGAAACAAGTCGACCTGGAAGCTTTCTTCCTGGGGATGAGGATGAACTATTAGCTGGCATTATGGATGATTTTGATCTGGGTGAGCTCCCTACTCAGCTGGAGGAATTAGAAGATGATCTTTTTGGTGGAGGAGGATTTGAAATGGAACCTGAGCTCCAAGATAATTTGTTTAATGGCTTTGCAAAGTTAAGCATGTCTCCTGGAAGTGGAAGCACTGTACATTATGGCTATCCGAATGGCAGCACAGGAACAGTGGCCGGGGAACACCCCTACGGAGAGCACCCTTCGAGGACACTGTTTGTTCGAAACATAAACAGTAATGTGGAAGACTCTGAATTGAGATCTCTATTTGAGGTGGCTTTTATTTATGTTCATGGTATTCATGTTTTTAACACTGTGATGTTTCTAACAGTTAGTGAATTTTTGGTTTTCCTTGAAGCAATACGGCGATATAAGGACTTTGTATACTGCATGTAAGCACAGAGGGTTTGTGATGATATCTTATTATGATATCCGAGCTGCACGAACAGCAATGCGTTCTCTGCAAAATAAGCCTCTAAGGAGAAGGAAACTCGATATTCATTTTTCAATTCCAAAGGTATTGGCAAAGAGAAGTACTCGCTGTTATTACTCCCTCCGTCTGGATTTAGTTCTCCACTTTCCAAAAATCTCAATTTTTAGAAATGAGCATAAAATGTCAAATACGTCCTTTATATGAGACAACTCATCTTAATTTCTTTATTTAATATGGAAAATGGACAAGTAATTCCAGACGAACAAAAATAAGGAAGTGGACAATTAATTCCGGACGGAGAGAACAATTTTTTTGTATGCTTGACATGTTCATTTCTGTATGTGATGTTTTTGGTTCCTGCATACAGGAAAATCCATCAGAGAAGGACATTAACCAAGGAACTCTTGTTGTTTTCAATTTAGACCCATCAGTAACTAATGAGGAACTTTGTCAAAAATTTGGCACTTATGGGGAAGTAAAAGAGGTACTAATAGAATAGAGACGACCTTACAAAATATTGCAATAGTACCATACTATTGCAATATTATGCTGATCTTAACTATCTCTTTACTCCTTTTATTTTGAGATGTATGCACAGTGATTTTTTTAATTTTTTCAATGAATTGCAGGTAAGGGAGACACCACATAAGAGACACCATAAGTTCATTGAGTTTTATGATGTTAGAGCTGCTGAAGCTGCTCTTAAGGCGTTAAATAGGAGTGACATTGCTGGGAAGCGGATAAAGCTTGAACCTAGTCGGCCCGGTGGAGCCCGCCGCAAGTATGCACTCGTATTAAATGTTTACTCCCTCTGTCCCAAATTTATGTCTATTTTATTTACTCATTTGATAAAATAATAGAGTCATGTCACCTCGTTTTCACAACTTCTTGGTTGATAGATATCCAATCCGTCTAGTTTATATGTTACTTGTCAATTGTATGCTTGACCTATAATTTACTCTTTGTTTTATCATATGTAATAGCTTGATGCAACAGCTGAGCCTAGAGCTAGACCATGATGATGTTAGAACATTCAGGAACCCAATCGGTTCACCAATTGCCAGTTCTCCTCCAGGTATTTACTTTTCATTCTGGGTAGCTTCAGTTAATGCTTATGACTAAATATTGACAATGAATCTGTAGCAGGAAGCTGGGCAAATTTCGGCAGTCCAGTTGAGCCCAATCCACTGCATAATTACAGTGCATCTCCCAATTCAAGAAATCTCAGCACTGTAACTACCAATCATATGTCTGGACTTGCGTCTATCATTCCCTCTCCCCTCTCAAATCCCATGAAGATTGCACCCATTGGTAAAGAAACAGGAAGGGTTAGTCAGGTAAGCCAGCACTCTCATTCGTTTAATGAGAAGAAACCAAGTTCAGGCTCTGGAATAGGAACACTCTCAGGTCCTGAATTTCTTTGGGGAAGCCCGCCACCTACTCACTCGGAACGCGATGGATCTTCTGTCTGGTCAACGTCACCGATGGGAAAACCGTATTCACACTGGCAGGGCCCACTTCTAGGTCCGGGCCATCACGTGGGGTCAGCACCATCTGGGGCTCCCTTGGAAAGGCATTTTGGGTTTTACCCTGAGTCACCTGAAACATCGTACCTAAGCTCTAATCTTAGTAATAATGGGAGCCATGTAATGAACACGGCTTTTACTGGTGGGAGTTTTAGTGAAAGTGGCTCACCCGATTCTAGAATGATGCCACTGTCAAGAAACATTCCTATATTTTTTGGAAGTGGTTCTTATGGAGGAAGTGGGTCAAATAATGGTGAAGGAATGATTGAACGTGTTAGTCGAGCTCGCAGAATGGAAAGTGGGAACACAATGGATAACAAAAAACAATACCACCTTGATTTGGAAAAGATCATGAGAGGGGAAGATTCCAGAACTACTCTGATGATTAAGAACATCCCAAACAAGTAAGTTTTTTATATCTAAATTAGCGTTGAAAATGGAATCTACAATTGGATTGCATTCTCTCTATTGCACTTCAAGCTCTTTTATGGTTGGGGGATTTTGAAGGAGAGGGGTGCTATTTATTCCTCGCCTCCGAAATCCCATAGCCAAACATGTCATAATAATTTACAACTCACATTTTACTTTTTCGTCAAAGATACACTTCAAAGATGCTACTCGCAGCAATTGATGAGACCCATAAAAGTTCATATGATTTCCTCTACTTGCCTATTGATTTCAAGGTAAGTGTTAGAGTAATTATTTCATCATTCATTATTCCTTAGTTAAATAAAATTGAATCCAACTGCTACTGATTTTTTGCCCTCTTCTCCATTATCTTTTGGCTTCAGAACAAGTGTAATGTTGGTTATGCCTTCATTAACATGGTCTCTCCCCAAAGCATCATCTCTTTCTATGAGGTGAGTCATCTTACCAATACTACGATGCCTTCATTAACATGGTATGTCAAATAATTTTAACTCCATCGAGAGATACTTGTGCAGATATTCAATGGGAAAAGGTGGGAGAAGTTTAATAGTGAAAAAGTTGCCTCATTGGCTTATGCAAGAATCCAGGGAAAAGCTGCTTTAGTAGCTCATTTTCAGAACTCAAGCTTAATGAATGAAGACAAATGGTGTCGCCCGATTTTAATCCAGTCAGAGGGTGAAAATCCTGCCCAAAAGGTAGCTTAACTTGTTTTTAGAAAATTCAGCATATATTTTGCCATTTCAGCCTGATGTGCCTTACCAAAAGTGCCCTTAACACTAGTCATTCTTGGGTCAAACAGGAACCTTTGCTGTCCAGCAACCTAAATGTATTCATCCGCCATCTTGATGGGTCTTATTCAGGAGATTCTCTAGACAGTCCCTAGGATAACGACAGTAGCAGTAATAATAATAATAATAACCCTAAAGAAGAGATGCCCAAAACGATTCTAGGGAAGCAGCAGACCTTCAACTCTTGAAAACAATGCCGAGTTGCCAGCTGGTTCTAACTGTTAATATGTATTTTTTCCATTTGTACATACTAGTGGGAACAGTGGATGTGCCTTCTTCTTCTTCTTCTTCTTGTTCTTGGCAGTGTCTGGTTTTATGCAAAGGACACTCCCTGGCATAAGGAGTTTGGAAAATTCGGGTACTTAGCTAACGTTAATTTGATAGAAGAACAATAAGGCAAAGCAAGTGTGTCTATCCTGCCATGTTCTATGATGATGATGATGGCTTGTTAATTAATGTACAATCTCAACTATCCTTTGTGCTCTTTCTTTTGCTTTGAGGTCATTTCTAATATGCTTGTGGGTTGGTTCTTAGGTTCAGAACATTGGGGTGTTGTTATCTCAAGTGTATAAAATGCAAACAGACCCCTACTAGTTGTTTATCAATGAATGCCCTCAAGCAAAACTGGTTTTTAGTTGTGAATTGTGACATGGCATTTATTACTAGTATTATGGAGTATGATTTTTAGTGTGTTTGGTTTGCCTTTTTGTTTTTCCTTTTCTGGAAATACAGAGCAAGTGTTTTATAAAGTGCTTTTAACAATTCAACAAACACTTTTGATGCTTGTGACAAAGACACTTATTTATGGTTTATGCTACAGCCAAATGATACAAGGCTAACAATGCCAATATTTCAAAGATAATAATTTATTATAAACAATAATTACACCTCTAATGGTTTGGGGTTGAAGTAGCATTTTCTCTTATTAAGCGCACATAAATTTATTATTCCAGATATAATTCATAAAGGGAAAGAGATAAAGAGCAATTGAACATTTGAAGGCCAGTTGCAATAAAAGTTTTGCAACTCAATATGCTCTTTTACAGACATTAAGGTTAAAAATGCTTCTAATTGTTGTAAAACATAAATGGTGTTAAGGGTTATGGTAGATTTTTGAAAAAGTAAAAACATATAAGTAAAAATAGATTGCCAAACACGCAAAAATGCATTTTTATGAATCAGAAGCTCAAAAGCCGGATTGAGATCATATTTGAAGAGCATCAGCAATTGATCCAGCCAGACTCAAAACTTCAAAGGGAGCTTTATTAGCAATGGCATTCACGGTAATAGGGCATGAATCCGTGATCCAAAAGTAGGTAAACGCTTTCGGCGACCCACCTGAACAAGAATAAGTGTTGCAATCAGACAATTGCATGACCAAAAGGAGTTTGGTGTGGAAATTGTGGAGTTTTTACCTCCATCTGTGTGTAGGAATCGTTCCCACGACCGTTTGGGGAAAACACCATGGGTGACATAAGCACTCACCTTGGCTGCACCATGTGCAGCCAACACTTTCTGTAAAAATCAAATCACAGTTGTGATGGATACATAAAAGGTTTCTTGTGATTCGAAAACTTCAGTGATGAAGGTAATGGAGAGCAAAATTTAACCTGGCATTCAATTAGAGTGCCCCCAGACTGCACCAAATCATCAACAATGATCACATGGCAACCTTCAGGATTGCCTTCTTTTAGCCTGACAATTCTCTTATCACCCTGGCGAACCTTTGTGCAGATAACCTGAGGTTTTTAAAGATACATACATTAAGAATCAAAAGAAAAGCGTAAAGAATAACAATTTTGTTGCAGTTTAACATGAGACTAACAGCTGGGTAGTTGCTGAATTGCTTGTAAAACCGCTTCCAAGCTCCATCATCAGGAAATGCAACAACAATCTGCAAATTCGTTCATTACAAAAAAAAAGTTTAAATTTTGACAAACCAAACAAAAAAGGGCGAGAGCATGAAACACCCACTTTATCATGATCTGGAAGCTGCAGAATTCGTTGTTTTAACAATGGAATTCCAGTCTCAAACAAAGGCAAGACGTGGTCTCCAAAGTAAAACCTTTCCTGCATAGAGATAGAAACACACACATTATTTAAGAGTTGAAGAGATGACAAAACTAAGTGCTTTAGAATACTACAGAACAGCTTCAGTCATAAAGCATAAGAATAGGTGGGAAGCTCAAAGAGTGATATAAACCTGCAAGGCATGGATGTCATAGATGACTAAGCTGGTGGGACCACCTCTTGAAATGGGAATATTTGACAGTATTCTAGCCATAGTAAATGCAGTGGCGACGTCCCCCTCCTCTTCCATCCTCTCAAAGGAGCCTGTGGGGAAGAAAGGCAACACCAGTGTGAAAGAGGCCACGAAAAGCCTCGGGAGAGCAAATATGACAGAGAGCTGTTCAAAGATGACTGCAGGCGAGCTGAAGGAGGCGAGAAATGCAACATGCTGTCCCCGAATGTTATGCGCATTGTTTATGAAAAGATTGGGAAATCCATCGTCAAAACTCCTGAAAATATCACACATGTGAATCCACACAAGATTTTGAAAACCCAAAAGAATAAAACTTTATTTAGCACTCAGTCATATAAATGGGTAGAAATGCCTTTCGAATAAAACTCCATACATTTCTCACTGCTACAACACAAATGGCACATTCAAGTGTCCTTAATTTAGTTTCCTACTATTAAACATCTATTGAGCCTTATAGGAATAGCATAAACTCCCATATAACAATTTACAGTTTCTCTTTAAGAAAAATGCCAAATCTTTCCAATGAACAATTTAAAGAATCTACCATTCCTTCACCAGGGCAGAGCTGAAAGTAATTCTTGAATTGGTATTGAAAATTTTACCACCATTTTCTTTTTACACATCAAAGATTGAAACTTTATCGCAAAAAAGGATAGCCAAACAGAAAGAAATGGTTAAAGAAAGAATGGGAAGAGGGGTGAGACCTCCAGTTGATGGATTGGAGGTGGATGGAAGGGGATTGAGAAGCGATGCTGCGAGCCAGGTGTTCCATCTCTACACAGTGGAAGAGCAGCACCTGCTTCTGAGCCCTCGTGGTAGCCATGCCGCCGCCTTCCATCTTCTCTATCTCTCTCTCTTTCGCAGGTGCGATGGAATCTCACCTCTCTCAGTCCTGCAGCAGTGAGTCAAATGAGATTGAGATTGAAAGGGTTTTCTCTTTGGACCGTGCTACGTGCAACCACCCCTATGTTGCCTCCTTATTTAAGCTTTTTTTATCTTTTCTCCTTCTTCTTTTTGATCTTTTCTTTCCTCTACGACTCTGTTCCCAGTCACCCTTCGCCGTAGACCTCTCCTTAGCCGCCGACCCAGCCTCTTCCTTCACGGCCGACCAGCCACCACCACCGGCTACCCCCCCTCTCGCAACAGCGGAACCACCCCAGCCCCCTCCCCCATAGCCCCAAGTCAGTACACAATCCAGTCCCAACCCAGCCCCCACAATTTTTGTGATATAATTTTTTGAATTTTTGTGTTATAATTTTTTGAATTTTTGTGTTATACATTTTTTGGTGATTATGGACTTACAAGCATGTATTGTTACACATGTTGAGAATGATCAATCACATGATTTTGGTGGTGAAGAAGAAGACCTGATTTTATATGACTTTCAGGTCAGTTGTAAGTGTTGATATTTAGATCCCATTCTATATTCATTTGAAGTAGTGAAAAAAATATTGTTTTGTTTTGGTCTTACAAAGATTAAAGTTCTGTGAACCTAGGGTTTGTCCTTGTCACAGATGCTAATAATCTGTATGCACTCTGCATTTGGTGTATTTTTGTTTTCTTCATAGTCAGACATTGTATTATATTAAAGGTGCTGTTTTTTTGCAGCTTTTGAACCAGATTTGTTTCTTAACGATCCTTGCTTTC